AATATGTTTTCACTTCTCCGGATATGAGTGTGTGTGTCGTTTTGAGTGCCTGTGTTGCTATGTTAGTTTCTGTGGCTTGTCTCTGTGTCTCTGAGTTATGAGTCCCGGGTCTTGGCTCCTCTGAACTCTTGCCTCGCTCGCCTTTCTTTTTCCTCCCTCTTTTTCCTGTGCTCTTTCTCATCCTCTTATACATCTTTCCTTTTCTTCTTCCCTCCCACCGTCGTTCTCTCTCTTTCCATCTCATTTGCCTTTTCCCGCACACACACACACACACACCCAGGAAGCAGCCCGTAGCAGCTCTCTAACTCCTAGATATCTATTTACTGCTTGGTAACAGGTGCATCAGGGTGAAAGAAACTCTGCCCATTTGTTTCTGCCATCGCCGGGAATTGATTCGCGGTCCCTAGGTCAACGAATCTAGAGCGTTGTCCACTCAGCCACCAGGCACCCTGTGTGTGTGTGTGTGTGTGTGTGTGTGTGTGTGTGTGTGTAAAATTACCTAAGTGTAGTTACAGGATGAGAGCTACGCTCTTGGTGTCCCGTCTTCCCAGCACTCTTTGTCGTATAACGCTTTAAACTACTGATGGGTTTGGCCTCCACCATCTTCACACTTAGCTTGTTCCAACCGTCTACACTCTGTTTGCAAACGAAAACTTCCTAATATTTGTTTCGGCACCTTTGCTTCCTTAGCTTGAATCTGTGTCCTATTGTTCGTGAGGTTGCTGGTTTCAGGAATTCCTCATTGTCAAGTTGACCGATTCCCGTTATCATTTTCTATTTTTTTTTTGTTTAGGGATATTCCTGCGCGGGCCCTAAGCCTCTGGCTGGCCCACTAAGTGTTGCTTGTTTCTGTTTTACTTGGGTGGAGTATGAGTATTTATGACTCGTATGATCGCATCAATAAGATTTTATCCCATGTGTTTAACAACTTCTTCTGCTCTGTTGATTCTAAGTTGAATTCTTATTGGGTTTGTAACAGTGCACTGTGTTAGATAATGTTCCAGTGGTCTGTCGGGCATTTCTCCACAGTGCTGACATTTCCTCTCATCTTCCGGAACCTGTAAGCCTATTTCCCATGCACATGGGCATCCAAGCCTGATGCGATGTAAGTGTACTTCTGTTGTTCTACTGCTCCCTTTCATTTCTAAGTGGTGACCATATCACCACTTTTTCTTGTATCTTCTATCTTTGGCATGTTTAACGCCTCTAGTCTCTCCAAAGAACTCCTGTTTTTCAGTTCCGGAAGCCATCCTGTAGCATGCCGTTGCACCTTTTCCAGTTTATGTGCTTCTTGAGAGTTGGCCACCATACAACTGCTGCATATTCCAATTTTAGTCTCACAAAAGTCATGAACAGTTTCTTTAGTATTTCACCATCAATATAATTAAAAGCAAGTGTGAAGTTGGAAAGCGACGCATGCGCTCCTCTCACAATGTTCTTTATGTGTTCCTCTGGCGACAGCTTACTGTCCTAAACCACCCCCAGGTCTCCTTCTTTATTAGAGTTCTGTAATTCCTTTCCACATAATTTATAAGTTGTGTCTGGTCTATTTTCTCTGATTCCACATTCCACAACATGGCATTTACTCACATTGAATTCCATTTGCCACTTGACGCTCCAAGCACTTATTTTATCTAGATCAGTTTCAAGGGCATCACAATCGTCTTTCTTCCCCAGTATCTTAGCATCATCCACAAACATGTTCATATAATTTTGTATTCCTTCTGGTAGATGGTTTATGTAGACGACGTTTATGAAGTGGTTTATGAAGATTACTGGTGCAAGAACTGAGCCCTGTGGTACTCCCCCTAGTAACACTCCTCCAGTCAGATACATTGTCTCTGATTACTGTCTCATCTGTCTGTCAGACAATTTTTCATCCATATCAGAAGTCTCCCTGTCACCCCTCCAGCATGTTCCAGTTTCCAGAAAAACCGCTTGTGTGGGACTCTTATCAAAAGCCTTTTTTAGGTCCAGATAGACACAATCAACTCAACCATCTTTTTCTTGTAGAATCACAGTGGCTCTATCATAAAAACTAAGTAGATTTGTTACACATAATCTCCCTGTTCGGAAACTATACTGTCCGTCTGTTATTATGTCATTACTCTCCAGGTAATTACCTTAGCTTGAATCTGTGACCTCTTGTTCTTGAAGCTGCTGGTGTCAAGAGTTCCTCTTTGTCAATTTGGTCGATTCCTGTTAGTATTTACTAAGTGGTGATCATATCGTCTCTTTTTCTTTTATCTTCTATACCTTTGGCATATTTAATGTATATTTGGTTTAACTATTTTTTTCTAGTGTTTTGACTACCACGCTTGTTAATAATACAGGTCTTTAATTTAGAGTGTATTCTCTGCTATCATTTTTGTAGGTTAAAATTATATTGGGCTTTTTCCATATATCTGCTAAGATTCCTGTACACAAAGATATCTGGAATATCAGTTGGTGTGGAATGCTCAGATGAGTTGCACATTCTCGCAGCACCCAAGGTGAAACTTCATCTGGTCCAACCACTTTATTCCTTCCTAGCCCTCTGAGTAACTGTCCCATTTCGTCTTGAGATACCTCTATGTATTCTATGGTGTTCTCTGGAGTTGGTATTGTCTCTGAAAACCTCATTTTGTACAAATACTCTTTGAAACTGTTCATTTAGTGTTTCGCACATGTCTTTCCCATTCTCTATGAATCTGTTCCCCTTTCTCAATCTCTGGATTTAATCCTTTACATGCAGCTTGCTTTTAATGAATTTATAGAAAAGAAGTCCTATATCTGTTTTACATTTGTCCGCTACCTATTTCTCAAAGTTCTTTTCTACCTCTCTCCTCATCGCTTTGTATTTATTTCTTGCTTGCTTGTAGTGCTGGTATGTTTGTGGGTTAGGCCTCTTCCTATATTGTACCCATTTTTTTGTCTTTTCCTCTCTTTCCTCTTACAATTTCTGTTGAACCAATCCTGTTTACTGGTTCTGCATCTCTATTTTGGTATAAATTTGTTTATGCCTTCATCGTATATATGTCAGAAGAATTTGGCATACTTACTTCCTTGCCTAGCAACAATTCTTTCCAATTATAGTAATTAAAGAATTTTATAAGTTCCACATAATGAACTCTCTTGAAATCAAGTTTATCAACTGTTTCAATGTGCCCATTCTCTTGTAAATTATATATATCGCAAATCATATTTAATTTCCAACAGGACATGATCATTCTTTTTGCAAGGAGGAAGGTACTGGATGTCAAATATATCCTCTTCTTCTCTGGTGAATATTAAATCCAGTATTGATGGAACATCTCCCTTCCCGCGTTCTTGTGGCCTGCTTGATACATGAATGTCTCCAGAATGAGGTTTACAAATCTGGCCGTCCAGATGTCCTACGTTCTTGCTTCGTAGGCCTCCCAGTCTATGGCTTTCAAGTTAAAGTCCCCCAGTACCAACAATTGTGATTTATCTTTATCTGTTCTTACTATAATCTTTTATGACCATTATGAGACCCTCTCATTTATCATCCATTTCCTCCTTTGTCCATGTTTTGCTTTCTGGTGGGCTGTACGCATTTACAATTATCAGTTTTTCATCCTGATTCCAAACTTGCAATGCCATTATGTCAACTTTTCTTGGGTTGTCCATCACAGGTCCATTCGTGGACCATCAGAGGTCCACGGTTGTTTAACATCCTCCCAGTTACTATAAGAAATATTGCCAGAACAACCATGGACATCTTCAAGAGCAAACTAGATAGTTTTTTCCGGAAGTGCTAGACCAACCAACCAGGCTGTTGTGGATATGTGGGTCTGTGGGCTGCTCTAAGCAACAACCTGTTGGACCAAGCTCTCACAAGTCAAGCCTCGCCTTGGGCCAGGCTTGGGGAGTAGATGAACTCCCAGAACCCCATCAAGCAGGTCTCGTTTTAATGAAAACGTTTCCCATCCTCATAATTCTGCAGTTTTCTGGCATTCCTAAGCACTTCTGCCATTTGTTTTAGTCCATAAAATATCACTTTTAAAGGGCAATTCTTGTCTTTCTAATATTTGCCTATCCTCCTAAAATCACTGACGTTTTTCTTTATCGTGAGACCTTCTAAACCTGCTATTTTCTCAATTATTTTTTCCTCTTCTGCTGCTCTTTCTATCCTAGAATATTTTTCCTTTTCTAAACAACTATAAATTATTATGGATTTGCTTCTATACTCACCTAGTTGTGCTTGTGGGGGTTTAGCTCTGGCTCTTTGGTCCCGCCTCTCAACTGTCAATCAACTGGTGTACAGATTCCTGAGCCTACTGGGCTCTATCATATCTACATTTGAAACTGTGTATGGAGTCAGCCTCTACCACATCACTGCCGAATGCATTCCGTCTGTTAACTACTCTTACACTGAAAAAGTTCTTTCTAACGTCCCTATGGCTCATTTAGGTACTCAGTTTCTATCTGTGTCCCCTTGTTCGCGTACCACCTGTGTTAAACAATTTATCTTTATCTACCCTGTTGATTCTTCTTATAATTTTTTTTTAGGTAATGATCAGGTCTCCCCGAGCTCTCCTGTCTTCCAGCGATGTGAGGTGCATTTCATGCAGCCTTTCCTTGTAACTCATGCCTCTTAGTTCTGGGACTACCCTAGTGCCATACCTCTGAACTTTTTTCAGCTTAGTCCTATGCTTGACAAGGTACGGGCTCCATGCTGGGCTGCATACTCCAGGTTTGGTCTTGCATATCTATCTGCAGTGTATTGTACTAATTTATTGCTGGCAACCAGTTCTTTCCTAATTACTTGTCTAATGTCTGCTTCTTGTTGGTCATTTCTGGTTTTGACCTCCAAACACACTTCTTTGATAGTTTCTTTCTCTCTCTTACAACTTGCGCATATGTTTCTTTTCTTTCCTCTGCATTTTTCCAGTCCACTAATTACCTCCTCTATTTGAGTTGTCATTGAAGTTTCTTTTAGCATATCCTTGCCTAACTCCATGTTAGCCTGGAGGGTTTCTTTGAGTTGTTCACCATACGAGTCTATTTTTCTTGTTAATTTCTTCAAATTCACCCGTCTTCATTTTACAGATCCCATTATCTTTCACTAGTTTCTTGATGTGTGCCTCCTGTATCCTTACCTTATCAGTCAATCTGGTAATTTCCTTACCCTGCTGGAAAATACTTCTTTTTAAATTTCAAAACTCAATCTTGAGACCTTCATTATCTTGTTCTAATCTAATTACCTTTTCTTCATAATTATTTAGCAGGTCCTTAATAATCACTAACCTGCCAAGAAAACCCCCTTGCATTATATCTTGTGCTCAGAGTCCTTCATAACATTGTTGTCCTCCCCTGTGGTGGCGGCCATCTTTGTTGTTGACATTCTTCTGTTTCGGAAGGTCAACTTTATCTATTCTGATTTTTCGCTCACTTGTACTGATTTCTTATATCGTAGTTACTTTTCAAATTCGCTATTCCTTCGTGTATCCTGGGACACCACTTACAGCCCTCACAGTTCCATAATGACTTAGGCAATTTGATTTATCCTGGAGCCTGCTGCAGTGTGGCTCCTGCCTCCTGGTGTGTGTGTGTGTGTGTGTGTGTGTGTGTGTGTGTGTGTGTGTGTGTGTGTGTGTGTGTGTGTGTGTGTGTGTGTTTCACCTAGTTGTTTTCACCTAGTTGTGTTTGCGGGGGTTGAGCTTTGCTCTTTCGGCCCGCCTCTCAACTGTCAATCAACTGTTTACTAACTACACTAACTTTTTTTTTTTTTTTTTTTTCACACCACACACACACACACCAGGAAGCAGCCCGTGACAGCTGACTAACTCCCAGGTACCTATTTACTGCTAGGTAACAGGGGCATTCAGGGTGAAAGAAACTTTGCCCATTTGTTTCTGCCTCGTGCGGGAATCGAACCCGCGCCACAGAATTACGAGTCCTGCGCGCTATCCACCAGGCTACGAGGTGTGTGTGTGTGTGTGTGTGTGTGTGTGTGTGTGTGTGTGTGTGTGTGTGTGTGTGTGTGTGTGTGTACTCACCTAGTTGTGGTTGCAGGGGTTGAGCTCTGGCTCTTTGAGCCCGCCTCTCAACCGTCAATCAACTAGTGTATTGATTCCTGGGCTTCTCGAGCTCCATCATATCTATACTTGAAACTGTGTATGGGCTCAGCCTCTACCACATCACTACTTAGTGCATTTCATTTACTAACTACTCTGACACTGAAAAAGTTCTTTCTAATGTCCCTGTTGCTGTTTTGATGATGGGACTCTTGATGATGGGACTCTTGATGATGGGACTCTTGATGATGGGACTCTTGATGATGGGACTCTTGATGATGAGACTCTTGATGATGGGACTCTTGATGATGAGACTCTTGATGATGGGACTCTTGATGATGGGACTCTTGATGATGAGACTCTTGATGATGGGACTCTTGATGATGGGACTCTTGATGATGGGACTCTTGATGATAAGACTCTTGATGATGGGACTCTTGATGATGGGACTCTTGATGATGGGACTCTTGATGATGGGACTCTTGATGATGGGACTCTTGATGATGAGACTCTTGATGATGGGACTCTTGATGATGAGACTCTTGATGATGGGACTCTTGATGATGGGACTCTTGATGATGAGACTCTTGATGATGGGACTCTTGATGATGGGACTCTTGATGATGGGACTCTTGATGATGGGACTCTTGATGATGAGACTCTTGATGATGGGACTCTTGATGATGGGACTCTTGATGATGGGACTCTTGATGATGGGACTCTTGATGATGGGACTCTTGATGATGGGACTCTTGATGATGGGACTCTATGATGGGACTCTTTATGATGGGACTCTTGATGATGGGACTCTTTATTATGGGACTCTTGATAATGGGACTCTTGATGATGGGACTCTTGATGATGGGACTCTTGATGATGAGACTCTTGATGATGGGACTCTTGATGATGGGACTCTTTATGATGGGACTCTTGATGATGAGACTCTTGATGATGGGACTCTTGATGATGGGACTCTTGATGATGGGACTCTTGATGATGGGACTCTTGATGATGGGACTCTTGATGATGGGACTCTTTATGATGGGACTCTTGATGATGAGACTCTTGATGATGGGACTCTTGATGATGGGACTCTTGATGATGAGACTTGATGATGGGACTCTTGATGATGAGACTCTTGATGATGGGACTCTTGATGATGGGACTCTTGATGATGGGACTCTTGATGATGGGACTCTTGATGGTGAGACTCTTGATGATGGGACTCTTGATGGTGAGACTCTTGATGATGGGACTCTTGATGATGGGACTCTTGATGATGGGACTCTTGATGAAGGGACTCTTGATGATGGGACTTGATGATGGGACTCTTGATGATGGGACTTGATGATGGGACTCTTGATGATGGGACTTGATGATGGGACTCTTGATGAAGGGACTCTTGATGATGGGACTTGATGATGGGACTCTTGATGAAGGGACTCTTGATGATGGGACTTGATGATGGGACTCTTAATGATGGGACTCTTGATGATGAGACTCTTAATGATGGGACTTGATGATGGGACTCTTGATGATGGTCTGGTACCAGTGGAAGAAGTTACTCGACGACACAATCACCATTGGAGGACACACTAGCACAGTGGGCTACATCCTGGACACATAGTCGAGGGACATGTGCTCGCTCCCCGGGATAGACAGAAATTGTTAAGCACGTTTCCTTTCACCTGATCCACCTGTTCACCCAGCAGACAAATAGGTCCCCGGGGGTTAATCAACGGTAATGGGTTATATCCTAGGATGATCAATAAGGGGTAGTCTTGAGGGACCTCTATAAGCCCAGGTGAACTATCAGTATAGTAATTAAGAAGGATTTCATATAGGATTATACAATTTTTATATCAATTATTACATACCTGAAGACAGTATCCACCTCACCCCCCCCCCATCCGACCACAATCACTATCACCAATTCCATCGGAACCAGATAATTAGATTCTTAATTAATCACGTTATGTGGATTCGGAATGCAATTATCGAAGCTTGTAATAATGAGGAATGCCTTCCCCGTTGTTTTGCCTTTAACGAGTTGACACTGCTAATTACTCAACCCGTCCTCTCACCTAATACAGTCACATTTGTTACGCAGTTGTCAATTCCGTTAAAAATACAACGCATTAGTGTAAATTAAAGAAACCGTAATATTTGTGATGAAGTAAAACAGACGTGTTTTGTACGGAGCAGCAGCTCGTAAGAACGGGTGGATTTAATACGTTCTTCCTCACTGGAGGTTATCTTGAGATGATTTCGGGGCTTTAGTGTCCCCGCGGCCCGGTCCTCGACCAGGTATCCACCCCCAGGAAGCAGCCCGTGACACCTGACTAACACCCAGGTACCTATTTACTGCTAGGTAACAGGGGCATTCAGGGTGAAAAAAACTTTGCCCATTTGTTTCTGCCTCGTGCGGGAATCGAACCCGCGCCACAGAATTACGAGTCCTGTGCGCTATCCACCAGGCTACGAGGCCCCTGTGGGGAATAAATGCTGTTGATATTTTTTGTCCATCGTTTCGCTCTGTTTTTTTTATTGTAAATGTCAATAAAGCACCCCATCGTGCAACGCCATTCAATACTGTGCAATACTGTGCAATACCGTTCAATACTGTGCAACAATATACTGTGCCGTACAATACTATACAACGCTATACAATTCAATGCTTGATGGGGTTCTGGGAGTTCTTCTACTCCCCCAAGCCCGGCCCGAGGCCAGGCTTGACTTGCTGGAGCTTGATCCACCAGGCTGTTGATCGGAGCGGCCCGCAGGCCCACATACCCACCACAGCCCGGTTGGTCCGACACTTCTTGAAGAAAATTATCTAGTTTTCTCTAGAAGATGTCCACGGTTGTTCCGGCAATATTTCTTATGCTCGCTGGGAAGGTGTTGAACAACCGCGGACCTCTGATGTTTATACAGTGTTCTCTGATTGTGCCTATGGCACCTCTGCTCTTCACTAGTTCTATTCTGCATTTTCTTCCATATTATTCACTAAAGTAAGTTGTTATTTTATTGTGTAGATTTGGGACCTGGCCCTCCAGTATTTTCCACATGTATATTATATGATATATCTCTCGTCTCCTTTCTAGCGGGTACATTTGGAGAGCTTTGAGACGATCCTTTAACACCATAATGGTGATTTGTAATTAATATATATATATATATATATATATATATATATATATATATATATATATATATATATATATATATATATATATATATATATACAACATGAGTCAGCCAGACAGGATTTTGAAAGGCGCCAGGTTATCTGACCCTAGCAATTGAAAACTTACACCTTTAGAGTGTTAATGACCACAAGTTGACCAGGGGTCAGGTCGTGTGAATTGACCTTCTGCTAAGCTGATAATTGCAGACGGGTGGCTGGGTTGGGTCCATCAAACAAGCCGCTGTTTAAGGTGTAGTCGATAAAGAGCCTTAGGCTATCTTACTTGTGAGCGGAGTTTAGTAACCAGGTCCCCCCATAAATACCCATGGAACTGTACATTCGAGAGCATAGCATAGGATCAGCAGACAGCAGAGCATCAGCAGACAACAGCCAAGACAGGCTGTCGGCCGGACAGGGAGACTCTGCCTCTCAACTGTAGACCTGTGGAGAAATGCCCGACAGACCACTGGAACATTATCTAACACAGTGCACAGTTACAAACCCATTAAGATTTCTACTTAGATTCAACCGAGCAGAAGAAGTTGTTAAACACATGTGGCAAAATCTTCCTGAAGGGACCATACGAGTCATAAATACTCATACTCCACCCAAGTAAAACAGAAACAAGCAACACTTAGTGGGCCAGCCAGAGGCTTAGGGCCCGCGCAGGAATATCCCAGCAAAAAAAAAAAAAAAAAATGTAGACCCCCCTCTTCTCTACCCAACTTAGTCCTTGGTAAGTTTGAACGTTAAGGTGACTTATTTCGTGTTTTCCAAACTTAAGGCGTTGTGTGAACATTATGGACAGACAGCTGTAGTGATCTCAATGTCTTGTGGGATGACTCACGGTCTTCTTCACATAGTGAACATTAAGTTTAACTGTTTGAGTTGATACTGTTAATACTAAATACATACACTTGATTAACTTACTTTTTAATCTGACTTTAATTGTGTTCCTTAGATCTTGGATTTAATGATATGTTGCGAGCTAGAGTGTAGAGCAGTCTGAGTTTACTGACTTAAAGAGTATGAGTACATACATGCTTCAAGAAATACATTTGATCCATGCTAAAGTAACATTTGATAACAACTTAGAGTACAGACAAGTGCCATTCCTTGTCTTGTATGTAATGAACTAGAATGGATGGTAGCAGCACTTTTTCTACCTCTACTTTCAGCTACTTCTGCTCTCTAAGTCTATTTTCTACCCTCTATTTCTACTTCCTAGTCACTCTCCTCTCCCTCCGCCTCTCTTCAAACCTTCCCTTTCAACTGACCACACTCCTCGCTACACCTCTCTACCTCCCTCACCCCAAACCCTCACTCATTACTTCATTATTCATTTCTTTCCATTTCTTTCCTTTTTTCAATTTCCGACCCACGTTTCAATCCCAATAATTTCGGTGCTTTATCGCGTCTATGCGTGCCGTATATGTTCTCTGTATTCCCTGTATTTCAGCAATCTCTCCTGCTCTGAAGGGGGAAGTGAGTACTGAGCAGTACTCAAGACGGGACAACACAAATGACTTGAAGAGTACAACCATTGTGATGGGATCTCTGGACTTGAAAGTTCTCGTAATCCATCCGATCATTTTTCTGGCTGTCGCAATATTTGCTTGGTTATGTTCCCTAAACGTTAGGTCGTCGGACATCATTATTCCCAAATCCTTTACATTTTGCATTCCTACAATGAGCTCCTGTGAACACTATCATTAAACGCTCCTGTGAACACGATAACATCAGCAGCATATGGGAAGTTAACAAACGTTCTTAAACGTTCTCTCTTTTTCTTCTCTCGCTCGACGTTCTCTCTCTCTCTCTCTCTCTCTCTCTCTCTCTCTCTCTCTCTCTCTCTCTCTCTCTATCTCTCTCTCTCTCTCTCTCTCTCTCTCTCTCTCTCTCTCTTCTCTCTCTCTCTCTCTCTCTCTCTCTCTCTCTCTCTCTCTCTCTCTCTCTCTCTCTCTCTCTCTCTCTCTCTCTCTCTCTCTCTCTCTCTCTCTCCTCTCTCTCTCTCTCTCTCTCTCTATTCTCTCTCTCTCTCTCTCTCTTCTCTCTCTCTCTCTCTCTCTCTCTCTCTCTCTCTCTCTCTCTCTCTCTCTCTCTCTCTCTCTCTCTCTCTCTCCCTCTCTCTCTCTCTTTCTTTCTCTCTCTCTCTCTCTTCTCAAGAAAGAAGAAAATTAATTCTATTGACTCACTGCGTTGTGTTATAGAGAGAACATGACTTTCCAATGTAAATACACCACCATTTACTAGTAATGTTTTTGAAACTGAAATTGAATTCAAGAAGTTGACTAATATAATAGTGGTATGGGACTCTTACTTTCAGTCTGAAAAACTTAACCTAACGTTTCTGTTTTTCGGAATGAATAAGGAGCAAGAAGTAATTTTTTTTATTGAGCTCATAGGCAGCAGAACGTTTTTTTTACGGAGCTAATAAGTAGTAAGAACGTTCCCGTTTACAGAACTAGTAAATAACTAGATCATTTCTCTTTAATGAACTAAAAAAAAGTTGTAAGCGGGTAAAATACTTTAGGAGAGGGAACCAAGAAAGCATCTTCGTGTTTCACAACCAAAACCACTTAAACACCCAGGCCTACACTGTAGGCCTATAGAGGCTTCTGTAGACCTATGGGGCTTCTATATAGTTTTAAAGAACCCTGAGCGAGAAATACCATCTCGGGCTTCTCTCAGGAGAACACCAAAACCTCAACGGACTTTGCAGAGACAATACCAACCAGAGCTCGTCGGCTCTATTTAAGGAACCACTTAACACACAGGAAAGATTTATGTTATCTATTTATGGAACCAATCAACAGTCGTGCAAAATATCCGTTTTCTCTTTCTGGAACCAATCAACTGTCAAGGAAAGTATTCGTTTTCTTCCCCGGGAAGCAATGGAACCAATCACCGGTGGAGACATTTACATCGTGGAGGCTGATGATCAGGGCGGGATGTGTGATGAGCAGGGTGATGTGTGATGAGCAGGGGGGGGGGTGTATGATGAGCAGGGGGGTGGGTGGGTGATGAGCAGGGGGGGGGTGTGATGAGCAGGGGGGGGGGTGTAATGATGAGCAGGGGGTGATGTATGATGAGCAGGGGGATGTGTGATGAGCAGGGGGGGGGGGTGTATGATGAAGCAGGGGGGTGCGTGTGTGATGAGCAGGGGGGGGGGTGTGTGATGAGCAGGGGTGATGGTTGATGATGAGCGGGGGGGGGTGTATGATGAGCAGGGTGGGTGTGTGATGAGCAGGGGGGGGGGTGTATGATGAGGGCAGGTGGGTGGTGCGTATGATGGGCAGGGTGGATGGTGTGATGAGCAGGGGGAGGTGTATGATGGAGCAGGGGGGTGTGTGTA